CTATTGCTTTTTTTACAAGTACAGAAAGCACATATATTGCTTGAATCCTTATGTTTAAGTCCTGTTGGTGTCTCTGTCCTTCTGCAGGTTTGAGTGCTGCAAAGCTGTTGAAAGCCAGTGGGCTCGATCCTGTAGTGTTGGAAGCCAGAGACCGGGTTGGTGGTCGTACCTTCACTGTGCAGGTAAAGCAAAGAGTGTCAATACTACTGTAGGAGCGGCTCATAAAAGAGACAATCAGTAACAGTAATATAAATACTTTCCAGCCTTTTTAATTTTACAACCAAGATAGTGTATCTATTTCTTTTAATGGGCATACAGAAAAAAAATGACATTTATATTCAAGTCATTTATGAGCGTAGAAGTGCAAGCATAGATCAGTTAGCCTTTTCAGAAATATCTGTGACATTTCTTTCTTTTTTGTCATGATCTAATTGTGAGGATGTGTCTTTTAGAATAAGGAGGCAAAGTGGGTTGATCTAGGCGGTGCCTACATTGGACCGACACAGAACCGCATCCTCCGTCTGGCCAAAGAGTACGGCATAAAGACCTACAAAGTCAACGAGCAGGAGAACTTGGTGCATTATGTTAATGTGAGTGTCTGTTTTTTTTATTGCAGATAATTTTCTATTCCAAGCTCTCTTGGTTTATGTTATGTCTGTGTAGTCTGTGACAGATCATGACATGTTCCAGATGTATTCTTCACTTTAAGTGATGGAGTAAATGATGACAATGTTCAGAAGATGATGCACCATATCCTGAGTCTGACCCATTATCCAATAAAAAGGAAATCCAAGTCTCTGCTACTTTTCTGGCATCACGCAGTAGGCATGGCAACAAGGATCTTTATCAACATTTTTCAATTGCCACTTTCTGCCGCTGGCACTTTTCCTGTCAGCTTAACTTTTGCATGAGCTAACAGAGCTAGCCTCTTTGCCATCAGCAGTAGAGTTTGAAGCATTTTTGGGGAATCTTTTTGTTTGCACTAAAAACAAATTTTTTACTTTGCACACAAAGTAAAACATTGTTATCATCATTGTTAACTTTAGTTCACTTGACTGTACCGTATTTACCGCACTATAAGGCGCACGTAAAATCCTTAAATCTTCACAAAAATCGACAGTAAGCCTTATAATCTGGTGCGCCTTATGTATGAATTTTGTTTTGTGCTTACTGACCTCGAACCGGTTTTATGTGGCACACTATGCTCAAAAATCTGTCAAAAAAAGATTTTTAGTGCCACTTTTTGGAGCATTACGGTTACCGTTGCCAGGAGCCTCACGGAGTAATACGTACTGTGCTTCAACACAACATTACCGTGTTGTGTGTGTGTGTGTGTGTGTACATAACGACTCCAAAATGGCACCCGTGAAGAGACACGCTTACGAAGCTGATTTTAAACTTCGAGCAATTAGTTATGCAGAAGAGAATGGAAATAGAGCAGCTGCCAGACAATTCGGCATTAATGAGTCCATGGTGCGCAAGTGGAGGAAGCAAAAAGATGACCTAAAACAAGTAAAGAAGACCAAAAGGAGTTTCCGAGGGAACAAGGCGCGATGGCCGCAGTTAGAGGACAAAATTGAACAGTGGGTTATTGAACAGAGAACAGCAGGTAGAAGTGTCTCTACAGTCTCTATTCGACTCAAGGCAACAGCGGTAGCACGTGACATGCAGATCAAGACTTTCGAGGGGGACCTTCTTGGTGCTTCCGTTTTATGAAAAGGCATAATCTCTCAATCCGCACAAGAACTACTGTCTCACAGCAACTGCCAAACGATTACAAAGAAAAGTTGGCCATTTTCCGCACGTACTGCCAGAATAAGATCACTGAAAAGAAGATCCGGCCAGAACACATCACTAACATGGACGAGGTCCCCTTCACCTTTGACATCCCCGTGAACCGTACTGTCGAGAAAACAGGGACCAGTACGGTATCTATACGCACCGCAGGGAACGAGAAGTCATCCTTCACTGTAGTTCTGGGCTGCCAAGCTAATGGCCAGAAACTACCACCCATGGTCATTTTCAAGAGGAAGACTTTGCCAAAAGAAAAGTTTCCGCCCGGCGTCATCGTCAAAGCTAACTCAAAGGGCTGGATGAACGAAGAGAAAATGAGCGAGTGGCTGAGGGAAGTTTATGTCAAGAGACCGGATGGCTTTTTCCACAAATCTCCGTCTCTTTTGATCTATGACTCCATGCGCGCCCATCTCACCGAGGCTGTCAAAACCCAAGTGAAGCAAACTAATTTGGAGCTTGCCGTCATTGCGGGTGGATTAACCAAAGAACTCCAACCACTAGATATTGGTATCTACAGGTCGTTTAAAGTTAAATTACGAGCTGCGTGGGAGCATTGGATGACAGAAGGCGAACACACATTCACCAAGACAGGGAGGCAACGCCAAGCGAGTTACGCCACTATCTGCCAATGGATCGTGGCTGCTTGGGCTAAGGTATCAGTCTCAAGTGTCGTCCGAGCTTTCACGAAGGCTGGAATAATCACTGAACAGCTAAGTAACAGCAACGAGACTGATTCGGATAATGATGAGAGGGATCCGGGCATGCTTGATGCTGAAATTGCCCAGCTGTTTAACTCAGACACTGAAGGTGAAGAGTTTGATGGATTTGTGGAAGTTGAATGAACTGGAAATGTAAGTGTATTGTTCAATATTTGATGTTTAACAGCTTAACAATGTTAATAGTTACTGTGAATGAGTTGGTTAAATTTTAACTCATCTGATTGTTTTATTCTGCTGAATGCACTTTAAACGCCTTTTAATCTGGCGTGAGAGGGATCCGGGCATGCTTGATGCCGAAATTGCCCAGCTGTTTACCGTAACTCAGACACGGAAGGTGAAGAGTTTGAGGGAATTGTGGAAGTTGAATGTACCGTACTGGAAAAAGTATATTTTTCAATATTTAACGTGTTACAGCTTAACAGTGTTAAGAGTTACTGTGAATGAGCTTAATAAAGGTCGAGTTATTTTTTTGTTTGTCTTAATGCGCCTTATAATATGATGCGCCTTATGTATGAAAACAGAGCCAGTCTTCAACAGTGCGCCTTATAATCTGGTGAGCCTTATAGTGCGGTAAATACGGTAATCTGCTAAATTAGCCACTCCCCCCACACACGGTCGTACAGAACATATATACTCAGTGGAGGAGCTTGTTAATGATCTCAAGACTAGGAACAGTCACCAAAAACACCAATGGTTACACACTGGTTGTAATGGTCTAAAATTAGAGAATAATGTGGCTCAGGAGGTAGAGCAGGTCATCTATTAATCAAAAGGTACGGGTACATTAGACATGCTAAAGTGCTTTGAGCGTTCAAGTAGAATAGTAATGTGCTGTATAAGAACCACTCCATTTACCATATACCGAATCTTGCAGCGCTCACAAGGTTCCCCCTGCTCAAGAAGGCACATTTACAAACCCCTCTTAAGTTTGCCAGTGAACACCTAAAAAATTTAGAGAAGCCTTGGAAGAAAGTAATGTAATCAGATGAAAACAAAATCGAGCTCTTTGACAACAACTTAACCCACAGTGTTTGGAGGAGGAGAAGTGATGAGTATGACCTAAAGAACACAATCTCCACAGTCAGAGGTGGAAATATTGTGTTTTGGGCTGTTTTTCTGCTGTGGGTACAGGATGACTTCACCGTATAGAGGGGCCAATGGATTGGACTATGTGCCGTAAAATCTTGGACAAGAGTCTTCTTCCATCGGCCAAAAAACTGAAGATATGAATGAGTCTTCCAGCATGACAATGACCCAAAATATACCACCAAAGAAACATAGGAGTGGCCAACGAAGAAGAATGTTAAGTTCATTTTGCAGCTTAACCACTCTCCAGACCAGACCTTTCTACCAGTCCTGTAGAAAATGTGCTGTGGGGGTCTTTAAAACCTAAAGCATTTAGAGATTTTCTGTAAAGAGGAGTGGGCCAAAATCACTCCTGAAATGTGTGCAAACCTAATGACCAACTACAAGAAATATCTTACCAAAGCTCACACTGAGCTCAGGGTTTTATTTGATTTGATTTTTTTTTGGACAGTGGTTTGGGGGAAAAATGAAATATCTGGAAATGCCATCACTGTCACCCTTCACAGAGCGCTGAGCCATCTGGCTAACAGGAAGAGCTATGTGAGGATGCCCTTCGTGGACTACAGCTCAACATTCAACTCTATAATCCCACACATCCTTATCACCCAACTGAGAATAAAAAGGCTGCGCAGAGGGTAATTAATACTGCCAAAAAATAATTGGCTGTCCTCTGCCATCCCTTCAGATCCCCCCCTGCCACCTGTTCCTAGGTTCAAGCTCGGTAAACGCCCTGGTAAAGAACCCCCAACAGTGTCTGCACTTCCTCCTTGTCCCAAGGAAGAAAAACCTGGACTAGAAGCTCCTGCTGGGCTTCTACCGCTCCTCAGGGGAGAACGTGCTCTCTTACTGCCTGGTTGTCTGGTTAGAAACGCTGCGTAGAGGGTAATTAATACTGTCAAAACAGTCATTGGCTGTCCTCTGCCACCCCGGAGTCCATCGCTAGATTCTCCTGTCTCAGACAAACACAGGTGACCCCGCCCACCACCCGTTTGACCCTCCACCAATCAGGTCCCACACCCCAGACTCACTAACAGCTTCTACAGCTTCTTCCCCTGGGCCATTTGGACTATTAACAAACACTACCCACCCCTACCCAACAAGTGTTACAATGGTCCAAGATGGACGTTAAGAGCCCTGCTCCCTCTCTGGGCCTGTTTTTCCATCTGCTCGTAGCTGTAACTAATAGAAGTGCTATCCTAAAAATATATTTTAAAAATGACTGCACTATAATGATCTCCATTTGCCTATGGGATGGGATCCTCAAATTATTTCCCTTTTACCAGCTGGTGGACTGAGCTTACCATTAAGCTATGAGGGAAGTGGATCCTAGTGCTTTGGCTACCCTGTTATGGGTGTGGCAAAAATTAGGCCAAATGAAAGATTCTCAAGCCAGAACTTATTAAACAGGAAAAAACAACAACAAGAGAATAATCAGAATCTGAAAATTTCACAAAACACTTGATGCATCAAACACTGGAGGATAGCAAACAGGAACAGAGACATGAGACACAGACAGTCTGACAAAGGACAAAGAAAACACTATGACAATATATACACAAAACAGATCTTGAACAGATCTTAGAATGCTATAATAATCACAGTGAAACCATCAGATAATGTAAAACTGTTTGCATTGTATGTTGGCCTCTCACATAATGAATGCTCTGCAAGATAGAAATCCAAGAAATCTTTAGACTGACTTCAGAGGTGGTGTTTAGATATGATTTATTATCTTACACCTGGGAACCAATCCCTGCATCGGCAGTTCACAGCAATCAGTCTTTATTACCTATATTTTTATACCGTGTGTGTGTGTGTTAGTGTTTTACTACATTAGTAAAATTTTTAAATTCTTGTTGGTAAATCACAAACACCTTGACTGAGGCAGGTGAGGCCTGCAGTTCTTGAGATGTTGTTCTGGATTCTTTTGTGACCTCCTGGATGAATCATTGATGCACTCTTGGAGTAATTTTAGTAGCCCATTTGTGAATAACAGCTCTCCACTTGGCTCAGTCTTAGAAATGGTTTTCCAGACCGATAGTTGTCAGCAGCTTAGTCTTTCAGCTGTTTTTGAGTTTCTTCAGATCATGGCATGACGTGTCGCTTAGCCTACTTTACTTTGTCAGACGGGTTCTACTTAAGTGATTTCTGGATTCAGCAGTTATCAGACCTGAGTGTGGCTAGTTGAAACTGAACTTTCCAAAGTTCAACTTTCCAAAAAATGTGGTTGATCACAGTAAATTCACGATTTAGGACATGGTAGGTTTGTTTAGCCTTTTCCTTACTAAATTAATGTATTAATTAATCTAATCTAATAATAATTTACTAAATTTTAAACTAAATGTAGTTTAAGAAATGAGAAATTAAGAAGAGCAAACATTTTCCCAGTACTGTATATTACAATATCAATCAATCAATCAATCAATCTTTATTTATAAAGCACTTTTCATACAGAGAAAATGTAGCACAAAGTGCTTTACATAGTTAAAAGCAGCCCACCCCACCCTCCAACTCACTCCCCACACTCTCAATACACATATATCCCCCCACCCCCACCCACACACACATACACACACGCGCACACTTAAAGAGTAAAAATTGGGCTGGACTCGCATGAGCCAAGTGAGGAAACACTATAACAGGGAGCCGTCTGCACCGGGAGCCGGTCACAGACCGCAGCCTCCAGGCTGGGCACACAGCCGGAGGGAGGCAAAGGAGCCCCCCAGCCAGGCTGAGAGGACCCCAGAGACCCAGCAGCCACGGTCAATCACAGCCCCGGTGCAGAGAGCGCCCTCCGAGGAAACACTGGAGATATGATGCAATACGATATATATAGGGTAAAATGATAAAATAAATAAGAACAGGATACAATATAAATATAAATAGAATAAGAAGATTAAAAAATGAATAAGAATAAAATCAAGCAAATATTAGGTAAATCCTAAATTAATAATAGAATAACAGGATAGAATAAATAAGCATAAAATAAATAAACGCTAAGTAAAAGCTAAATTAAAAAGGTGGGTCTTGAGCCTGTTCTTAAAGACATGTACGTTCTCTGCGGCCCTGAGCTCCTCCGGCAGGCTGTTCCACAGACGAGGACCATACCACTGAAAAGCTGCCTCTCCGTGAGTATGTGTCCTGACTTTAGGGACAATCAAAAGGCCAGTACCAGAGGACCTCAGGGTCCGCGAGGGTTCGTATGGTAAAAGCAGATCTGAGAGATAAGAAGGCCCAAGACCATTAAGACATTTAAAAACCAATAAAAGAACTTTAAAATCGATCCTGAAACACACGGGGAGCCAGTGCAGCGATTCTAAAACCGGTGTAATGTGGGCCCGCCCTCTGGTCTTCGTCAGCACACGAGCTGCCGAGTTTTGCAAGAGTTGTAAAGTTGAAATATTCTTCTTAGGAAGACCAGAGAGCAGACCAGAGACCAGAGAGCATAGGCAGTAAAATAACTATTGATAATAGATGTTTGTTTCAAAGTCAGATAAGAGCGTACAATATAATTTGGGTAAAAGGCTAAGGGCAGTGATTAGCATTTTCTGTGGTTCTGTGAAATCTTTATCTTTAGATGGTTGTCATAAAGTCCTCCTCTGCAGTACATCACCTTTGTCTTCAAGTAGCGTTCTTTGGTCCTCTCATTAAGGACAGGATCTTAATCTCGAGACTTCCAGGCCATATTCGGCACAGATGTTTCTGTACACTATGCCGGCCACTTGGTTATGGCATTCCATGTATGCCCTGCCTGCTAGCATCTTGCACCCTGCTGTTATGTGCTGGATTGTCTCAGGGGCATCTTTACACAGCCTGCACCTGGGGTCTTGCCTGGGGTGATAGAGCCCAGCCTCTATGCTTGTTCCTGTGCTGCCATGATTAGCGCCTCTGTGCTGTCTTTCAGTCCAGGTTTGTCCAGCCACTGTGGTACTGACACTAACTAGCCTCTGACCTCCTTCCTTAAGCTTAGCATACAACCTTAGGGCTTAAAGTTGGCCTCTAGTGTTGTCCACCACATCCCCATTGAGTTCCTGATAGTTCCTGATAAATTTATATTTAGTTTCTTCTTAGGGTCCTGTTGATCTTGTACAGGTCTAGGCGTTCCAGCATCCAGTTGTGGGGCATCAAGTTGTAGGCCTTCTTGTAATCAATCCAGGGAGTGCACAGGTTTGTCAGCCTAGTCTTGCAGTCTCGGCTGACTGCTCGGTCTACCGGTAGCTGGTGTTTTTCTATGTCTCTGGTGTACCTCTTTAAGCAGCTGGCTAAGGCTGTGAGTCTTTGCTTGGCAGTTTCCAAGGCCTCAGGTATTGGACAACTTGCTGTACTTCTTAGGCACCTTCTTTGTCGCACCTTTCTGCATCTCCGATAGTTGGCTAACCTCCCTCCGTGCCACCTTGATGCCTCCAGTCTCCTTTAATGCAGTAATAATGCAGTTACAGCTGCATTGTTTTACAATGAAATGAAGAACTAAACAATTTTGATATTCTTTTTGTTTTGTTTTTTCCTTTGGCTCTATTACAGTGGTATTACATTACACAACACAATACGTTAGGAGACTGTAAATAATAGGAGACATTATTAGTTTAAGCTGCAGCTGCAGACCAAGACAGTACAGTGTAAGTGTTATTCCAGAATTGTCTCTGAGCTGACAGCTCTGTGAGGCTTGGGCATTTCCACAAAGATGTATAGACAGTTTTTTTCTCTTTCAAAGAAGTTTGTGTTTAATAAGGTTTGAAATAAATGTTCCTGTCAAGCAAAGCTCTCAATACTCAAGCTCTCAAATAATCTCGCTAGAGAGATTATTTGAGATTCCATCAACACACATAAATGAATGTACTCAAACCATTGTTATCCTCCACATAGCAAAGGGAACTTTGCTAGAAAGCAACAAAAATAATCTCTAGTTACAATTGTGGTGTGGCAACACTTTAGTGGTTTTAAACCCACTGCATCTACCCCTGACTGTCACCTCTGTGTTTGTATGTCTTTGTGTGTGATTGAGAAATGCAGAAATAAACTAGACCAGGCATAAAAACTATGGCTTTAGATTATGGCTACTCTTATCACATTTAATGATTCAGTATCTCTGATTCAGTTGTAAACATTGCACAAGCTATTACTCCACTTTCTCCACCACTCTTCAAACTGCTTTCACGGTCAGTTAGAGGTCAACTGAAACAAATCTTTAATGGCAAATGCTGAAATGTTGTTCTTTGAATGCTGCCATCATTAAGCACAGCTTTTATAAGCAATGGTTATTTGATGATTGAAGAATATTGTTTTGGTGATGATGGCCGCAATCATGTGTCCAACAGGGAAAGTCTTACCCGTTCAAAGGCTCCTTGCCTCCCATGTGGAACCCCATCGCTTTGATGGACTTCAACAACCTCTTTAGAACAATGGATAAGATGGGCGAGGAGGTAAAGCAGTTCTCACTATTAATGAGTATTCTTATTAATAAGCATTCTAGATTGGTTTACTGGACAGGTTGCACACCTGCTACATGCCTGACTCATGCTGAACACCCTCCTGCATTTCAGATTCCCAGAGACGCTCCCTGGAGAGCTCCCCATGCTGAGGAGTGGGACAAGATGACCATGCAGGAACTCTTTGAAAAACTCTGCTGGACCAGGTAACATGTTCAAAATGTTTCCCATTTGTGCAGAGAATAGGTCTAGCTATTCATCCTGTTATCTCGTTTATATCCAGTTTAAAGTTTTATTGTTAAATCATGTGACACAAATGTTGAAGGTGGTCTCTAACAAAAGAAATGTCGTTTTATTTTCTAATATCTCATATGAGTCAGCGAGGCTGGCTGGTGGAGTGCTAGGTTATAACCTAATGTTAGCAACCTCAGTTACTAAGGTTTCATGAGTGCAGCATTCTGCACAACAGACTTGGCATGAAATGCTAGAATTCCACTCACTGAAGCTGGAAGTAAAATTAACGCTCTTTGGTTAATTTTGGTTAATTGGCTAATTCCAATAAAATGATCTAAAAGGCTCCAACACCACAGTCACAGTTAAGAGGTCCAGTTCAGTGACTCAAACTTGCAGAGGTGGAAATGGTTACAGCTTCCTGTGTCAGCACTAATAAGAATAAGAATTCTCATCCCTGCAAAAACTTTGAAAACGGATGCTGAAGGTTGTAGCTGTTTCATAGAGGTTTTTGGTGGAGAAGCTTCAGTATATGATGCACTGTGAGTGAGAATGTTTTTGAAAATCTAATTACTGTGTAAATTTAAAATATGCAGCTTGTAAAAGTAAATGACAACAGTCCTGCACTAATTAAATGATTGTACTGCTCCAGCATTTGAATTAATCCTGTAATGTATCCTATATTAAACTAAAATAAAACTTTAGTTCAACTTTGAAACTGCTCAAATGTAGATTATGTGCAAGTCTCTGCTGGAAAAGTAGGACAAGCAAGCAGAAATCCCTGACATGGTGATTTATTTGTGCTTTGTTCACACTCTTACAGAATATAAAAATTGTGACTGGGGTACCTGCAGTATTTAAAGACTTCTTACCTTCCATGTAATCCCTCCCAGAACTGCTCGTCGCTTCGCCACACTGTTTGTCAACTTGATCGTGACCGCTGAACCCCACGAGGTGTCGGCTCTCTGGTTACTCTGGTACGTCAAACAGTGCGGAGGAATAATGAGGATCTGCTCCACCACCAATGGAGGACAGGTATATCTGCCCAAAATTATACCTACTGATTCAGAACAACAGACTGAAAGAATTGGTTTTTTTATATATCTGTCTGAACAAACAGAATATTCTCTCGGCGTGCCAAGAAGTGGACTTGCGTTCTCTGCCTCTCACACAGATTCATTCAGTGATTCAGAGGAGCAGTGTGAACGTCAGAGGGAGATCCCTCACAGCCCAGTCTCCTTAGTCTGGCCTGAATAAGATGCTGTCCACACAAAAGATGTTTTCTTGGAATACTCAGGGCGTCTTTTCTGCTGCCGTTCCTCAAGCTGAGGGCCTTGTTCCCATAGCCACAAAGGCTTTGGTAAACAAATGACAAACAGTAGTGCAGTCGGCTCCTTCCTGTTTGCTCCACATTTAAAGCTTACACGCCTTGTGGCCGGTGCATACATAGGGGTGTTTGAAGTATTTACACATAGTCATCTTAAACATATGGATATGCTATTGGTATGCATTGCTTCGAGTGCAGCTGCACTCCTCCTGCAAAACTGCAAAACGTGTCTTTAATCAAACAAGACAAGAAGAGGCTCACCTCGTTTCACCGCCCAGGACTGATTCAGGTGTAGCTCGTGCTTTCTCAGTGACTGCTTGACAAATTCATCCAAATGCCACAGAGGAATGCACACAATGTGTTTCTGGTCAGGGATGAGAGAGATGTTGACACTAACCACATGGAAATGGTTTTGTGTATCGGAGCTTTGACAGCCCAAACCTCTCTACCTCCTCACTGTCATCTTCATCATTTAACATTTGCTGGCCTGGCTTTATGAACGTGTTTCTTTTGAATTAAGATGCAGAAATTTGTAGTGAAGGAAATGAAGGCGGACTGAGGATAACCGGTGTGTATCACCAGGATAAATCAGGGGATTTTATCGGCTTCATTCCAAACTGGGAGTTTATTAGCCTTGCTGAGGGGTACCCAGAGGGGGATCAGAGTCACTTCCACCCAATATAAATAGAAACCAGTGTTGCTGCATCTGCTCTCCCTGTTGGTGCTCACTGAACTCTGCTCTCTTTGTGTCTCAAGGAGAGGAAGTTTGTAGGAGGTGCGAATCAGGTGAGTCAGTGCATGGCGAGGGAGCTGGGAGACCGAGTGAAGCTGCAGTCTCCAGTCTACAGGATCGACCAGACCGGAGACATGGTTGTGGTGGAGACCGTGGACAAGCAGACCTACAAGGTGAGTTGAGTATATCACCAGTATTTCCTTTGAAGTACTATTCTTTAAGGACACTTTTTATGTCTTTCCTTACATATTCTGCTTTAGTCAGAAATATAATATTGAGCTGGAAATGAGCATTTAAAGTCCAGTCTAGTAAATATTCGAGGAGCTCGATTAATGTTTATTAATGGTATCTAGCACCAGATGATCTCAGAGATTACAACAAGATGGAGAGAAACCTAAGTATTCCACCTTTGAGCAGATCTTGGCCACAGTGAGAATAAAGTAAAGAGAGGAAAATAGAGGAAATGCGCTCAGGGAATCTCTGACCACAGAACAGTTTCCACTTTGCCTCAGTCTGTTTAAAATGAGCTTTGGCCCAGAAATGATGGCGGTGTTTCACCATCATGTTCACATGATAGAGCTTTAACCTGTATTTGTGAACAGTACAGTGTTCATAGACAGTGATTTCCAGAAGTGTTCCCGAGCCCTCCCAGTGATTTCATGACAATCATGCCTGCTTTAGTGCAGTGATGCAGCAGGGCCCAAAGGTCACGGGCATCCATTATTGATTTTCAGCCTTATCCTTTGCACACAGAAATTCCTCCAGATTCTTGGAATGGTTAGATGATATTATTCTTTTCAGTTTGATGTTGAGGAACATTTTTCTGAAATTGCTCCACAGTTTGTAGACACAGTTTTGGGGGTTTTTGCAGAGCATCTCTGAGATGCTCTTTTTATCGCTGGTCGTGTCACTTTGAGACATGTCACTGCCATCAAATTCAAAGTGAGCTTTTTGTTTCTGTAAATGATAATAGTAGATTTCTGATATTTTTCTGTATAAGTGAATAAAAGATGGCTTTCTGAGATCGGCAAGTCACTGCATTCTGTTTTCATTTACAGTTTACACAATGTTACAACTTTCTGAAACTGGGTTTGTAGACACAATTGATTAGTTCAGTCCAGTGGTTCCCAACCTTCAAATGGCCCACAAAACAAATAGTCAGAATGACTTTGCTTCTATGGATACATCACCGTTAACGAGCTGATAAGATAATGAATAATGACGCTGCTCTTATGTTTCAGTAGATTGTGAATGCAGGACTTTCCTTTTCCTGTTTTCCTGTTACTGCAGCCATGTTTCAAATAACTGTTATAGTGTTTGTTTGATTTTATTATGTATTAGGAAATGAAACAGATACTATATTTATACACTAGGTAATGTGAGATAATGCAGTCTGAATATGAAACATCCATGTATCTGTAAAACAGTAACTGCTTCACAGTGTTAC